AATGCAGCTCTTGTTGATTCATCATCCCGAATTTGTGTTCGATGTTCACCAGCCATTACAACAAGAATGATTTTACCAACATCAGGAGAACATGGCACATTATGTGGCACCATAGAGGTGGGAGTAGCATCGACTGCTGCAAAAAAAGTCAATTCATAAAACTAATTATCAAGTTCTTATCAAAATGTGAAACATGAATAGCATCTTGCACTGTATGTGACTTAATATTTTTCTTATGTTACAAAATTTATTGAACTTGTAAAGAGTAAATAATAATCGAAACAAATTAGAATTGGCTTACAGTCGCTAAAACACTTATGTATGAGATTATACAAGATTTTATTTGATCGAATAGAATAAAAAACTGCATTCTGTACAAAAATGTACGACGAGATAGGTAACATTCTCAAAAGTCTACAAGGAACTAACAACTAAAATAATTTTAAATTGATATTATTTGAAAAGATTTTACTAACAACAACATTAGGTTTTCAGGGGTCTAGAAACCGCTTATTTACCTAGACATGCATTGTGAAAAAATCTTTCGCTGGACATCTATTATAGAAACGAGCATCATAGAATAATATCTAGTGGAGAGTTCTATAGCAATGATTCGTATCGAATGATGAATACTTAAGAACAATTTTTAAGTACCGTAGATCACTGGAAACATCATTATTATCAGCATCGGCTATTTCATGATTATGCAGAGAAATACAATATAACTCTAGAAACTTCGACGTATATGTTAACCAATATATTCTCTGTGCTTTCATGAATTGTATCAGTGGGACAGCATGTTTTAACACATGTTTCCTCTCGTTTAACTAGCCAGAGTAGTACAAACAGGGAAAAGTAATGTTGAATTATCAATTACATCGTAAAAGGGCCTCTAAGATTGACTCTCAATGAATCTCAAATTATGAAGTGTGCGTCATTTAAGTAAAAATCTACAGCATGCATTTCTTGAAACATGCGTTTCTTGAGGTGAATAAAAAGTCAAAGATAAGGTTGTCGACAGGTTGCTCTACGTATGCAACAATTACTTTTTTTTAATGATCACTAATCAGTTAAATCGAATATTTAGTTTGGATTTTTCTGTAAAAGCTATTTGAAAATCGTGTTCAATATCTCACTCACTGTTTCAAGAATCCACAAGTTTTTGCTAAGATGTATCCAAGATTTTGGATATGCTTTTATGACTGTCATAGTTTTATGTAATATTTGTCCTGATATTGATATATGATGGATGATCTTGATAAACTGTATGCCTGAAGATTCTCTACTTCTTAAAGAATTGCTTATAGTTAAGAAAAACTCAGAAAAAAAATGCAGCAGACTTATTTTTAAGCTTAGGTGAAAATGAGTTATTTTCTTACAAAACTAGAAATGTAAGCAACAGTTGATAAAGACTGATAGGGCTTGTCCCCACCTAAACAGCTAAAAAGAATTATTTCATCATTTTTCATTCAGTACTATAACAGAAGAATGCTTACCGGAATATTTCATTCTGGGAATAATAGTGACCATATATTCTCGTGTCTCATTGAATACATAATAGCCACATTGTCTTTGATAATAGTCGCTTGGAACAATAGTAATATGCATACGATGTGGTCTATTTCTAACATATCCGCTATCAAGTGTTGGTACGTGTAATTGTATATCGTAGATACCTTCTGCCATGTAACTGGTAACGGGCCAACGATAAGGAGCCCCAACTTCTGACTGATCGAAATGTTCATCATCATTTAGATCAAGCCAAACATTAACATCTTGAGCAAGGTTACAACCAGTTTCAGTTAATTCAGTTCTTAATTGTGACGAACAATCCAATTGAATGCGTAGCAAATAGACAGTGTGCTCAAAAAGTGTAACGCCCATGTGATGTTGATTTTGATAACCAAGTGTTAATGAACTCATTGGTTTATCATCTCGAATTTCAGTCCCTTTCTCTCCGGCCATAATAACAAGTTTAATTCTGGCGATACTTAGAGGACAGACATATGGAGTAGTGGTTTCGACTAAAATTAAAAGGCATCCACAATATTCAGTTTTTTGTACTGATAAGATGGAAACTAAGATATATCGTTTCAAACTATAGTTAGTATCCATCTTGTTCTTCAATCTTCTTTTTCATTTAACCATAATAGTCAAATTCATTTGATGCCGCGTATTTATTTGTATAATGAGTACTCTATGTGAAATATGTTCTAAATAATATCTGTTTGTATGCGATATTATTGTGATATTTTATAATTTTTATATTTCAAATATATATTGAGAAATATAGAATTAAGGTATGATTATCAAAGAAAACTTATGTATTTCTCATTTTGATGCTTCAATGAAACAAAGGCTTTTTGCGCGCGTAACTGTTACATTCGTGAAAAGTATTTTTCTCGAAAATGGATTACAACTGAGAGGTAGATTGCTAGATTTTTCAAATGCCATGGAAAAATTCCGAATTATTGCTATTTTCCCGATCGCTTTCTCACTTTCCGAATTCTTTTGTATTTCGAAGCTATTCCGACTTTTTCTCCCTACAATCATATTTTGTAAGTTTCTGCTGCACTCTAGTTTTTTACTATAACTTTTATCATCTATTATTGCGCCATCTTGTTCTTCTCATAATCATTGGATAACCGACTGTATTTAGACTGTTACAGTACATTCTCTGCTTCCTTCAGTCTCAAGCTTATCAGAATCAGTCTGATTTTCTTGCTACCATTGTAGTTGTTAGGATAAACGATATTCTTTAAAATGAACTGAATTTTAAGTTTAAGAAAATATGCAGTTTTGCTTAAGTGTTTTTAACTGAATGTGCATATATATAATTTATTTTTTCTTGCTTTTTTTAATCATCTATATGTTTGCTAAAGAAGAATGACCTCAAGTAATAAATAGACTATTGTACTTTTGTTTACTATGGATGAACTGTACATCAATAGATAATAATCAATAAAGAAAACATATTTTCTTCAGAAAACAAGGTAAACCTATGCATCAAAAAGTTAGATAATTGTTCTTCGAATTTTTCAGAATCCCAATGTAAAAAATTTGGTATCTCACTTTTCGTTCTGGCAATGCTGACTGAGAGTAATCTCTTCCTGAACGTTTAGTATGCAAGAGTATTTCTGAATAGAAAAGTTGCATCGATGAATACCGCGAACTCACGAAGACTTTATAATATGCATGATGCAAGTAAATGAACTTATTTTTTGAGCAATATAAAATCATAAGTTGGACAAGATTTTAGCGATTTATGATATATAAATATAATTTTTTTTTTAATTTTATTATAAATATCGTATTTTCTGGACTGTTGAGAACAATAATTAGGTGTTGCCATCTTTTAACATAATAGGGTCGTTTTAGTATACTTCCTATTAATGTCATTCCCAGTATCCAAGCAAAAAATAAAGAAAGACGATCGACATGACTAGTGCGAGCTATCTGCAACATCCGTCAGGTCTAGTCTGAAACGTCTTGCATATCCGTCATGACTAGTCACTTTTGAGAAAATGTCCTTCAAACACGTCTGGACTAGTCCAGAATGTCCTTGAACCCATTTATGGCTAGTCCGTTTTGTCTGTTGACCCTGTCCAGACTAGTCGGAAGACTAAAAAAGAAGATGAAAGGTGGGTTTGAACATCCAAACCAACAGTATTCGAAATGTGACGAACATCCTGACGGCCGACTAGGACACTGAGATGAACTGACGTCAGTTTATACAGTCTACATCACAGATTGACTCCCGTCCATCCACTAGACAATCAAAAATCAGTCAATGTCAAACGACTTTGACTAGTCTGAAATGTCTTTTATAGTAGTTAGGACTAGTCCGAAGTGCCCTCTGCACGCGTCATAACTTGTCCTTTTTTAAAGAGTGTGCCACCCATCTAAGTTAAGACTAGTCTGAAAAACTCTGAACAGCCCACTTTCTTGCGACTGAATTGTGCTACTAATTCGTTTAAACTGATCAATAATAGAAAGTAAAAGAATTAGAAGGTAAGTGAAAACTTTTTTCAACATCTATATCATTTGTTAAAAATAATCGATGAATAATCGCATGCATTTAGAACTTGGACTAAATAGTACAATAACAATCATTTAATTCTCTGTCTTGTACTGAAATATTCGTAGATTGATGATTAAGCATGATGTGTTATATATCTTATTATATTTTGTACTTTCATATGATACAAATATAGGAGTATATCGAAACATAAAAAAGTAGAAGTAACAACAAAGCACAATATTTATCTCGCAGCCAGCGGTGCTAATTTATTCTCTTTCTCGTAGAGAAGAGTCTTGCAAACATAAATTGTCTGGTTGCTTGCCTGCTTGCTGGCTTTTGTGT